ATATGAATGCAGGTCATTATTTAAATAATTAAAGGAACACAAAACAAGAAACAGGCCCATTGTAAGACTTCATAGCCACCGCCAAGAAGAGAAAGTTGAAGTGATATGGACATGCCATAAGAGCCAACAGTCTTTCACAAGATCCTATTTTAAGTAAAAGAAGAAGAAGCAGACAAAAGAAAAAAATGTTCTGACAATGTCACTGAGTGGATTGAGCGATCATGCACAGAGCTTCAGATATTAGGACGCAACCGAGAGGGAACTGGTCAGGTGCTCAGCATCGCAGATATCCTACGGCCACACCCTGTCATGGGACCGATGATGGTGGTGGTGTAGAGCTAATATTAAGAAAGAATTTTTTGTTCATTTAGAGGGCTATGAGTGAGTCAGGCTGAGATAGTTTCATTATTCCTTCGCGTATATATATATATATATATATATATATATATATATATATATATATATATATAGTTTTAAGGTGTGCTATATTTATGGGATAAATTCAGAAATAGTTTTTGTTCCGTCTGAATAAAGATTTGCAGATGAACATTTAGTCCATTAATTTGTTTTTCCCGTTAAATCGTGAGACACCCAAACATTATCTGAGCCTGACTCACTTCCAAAAATCTGACTAAATAAGTATCGTAATTTTTTAAATCTATCTCTTCAGCGCCTCCTCATATATATGTGTGTGTGTGTGTCTGTGTGTGTGGCAATCCTCTACATATTACCTAATTTCATGTAACTATAAATGACGAGTGGAAGACAGACGTCATTGGAATTGGGTCAAGGGAATCATGACATATGTTGGGTTTTGAGCTTTGAAAAAAAAAAAAAAGATAAGATGTCAAATTGGGATAAGCGTCAGGTGGTGCCTGCATTTATGGGTGGAGGCGGTGTAAGTTTAGAGGGAGAAGAGTGCGAGGGGAGTAATAAAGACACAGAAGGAGAATGGAAGCGAAGAGTGAGGTTGAATTGAGAAGGGGTGAGAAAAGGGTGCCATTAGGACTGCATTTGATAGGAATACTAATTGGAAATAACTTTGCAGGGGACATTACTAGGTAAGAAAGAAAGAAAGAAAGAAAGAAAGAAAGAAAGAAAGAAAGAAATGATAATGAGGAGGGCTATGTAAAAAGTGTAAATATATATATATATGGGGCAAATATATGACAAAGTAGGAAAACATTTTCGTGTGAAGCGTTTCGTTTTTTGTCATACATTTCCCTCAATATTGCTCTTGACATATAAAAACTTATATATCGTTATCTCATCTCTCTCTCTCTCTCTCTCTCTCTATATATATATATATATATATATATATAAGAAATCGCACATTGAGTGCTGGTGTTAATAAAATATAGCTCGATGCAATATAACAGTTATAAAGTATATTTTAATAGATATACATTTTTCCTCACCGGTGGCGCGACCCAAAGTTACATGCATAACGCAATCTTCAATAATATATGAATTTTATATATAAAATAAGCAGAAAAGATCACACACACATTCAGGCAAATTATTTACTTCAAGTTATAAAGGTAGAGTTAAAATCTAAATCTAAATATTTGCATTTAAATATTTATAAAAATATAATACAATTACTTACCAATAATAGTAGGAAAAGTAATCAATACTTCATGATGACTATCAGTTGCGCGCTTCAAATGGATCTTCAGGCCAAATGCAAGCAGCATTGATTCCTATGTTTATACGCTCTGTATCTATAAACGTTCTGTAAGATATAAAATATCAACACTATATATATATATATATATATATATATATATATATATATATATATATATATATATATATATATTAAATTAAGGCCGTAGTTTTGTTTTTTTTCCCTTTATTTTCCCAAGATCTTTCAATTTCATTCAAGATTGTAATTGATATTTGTGATTTTTTGTAAATGCGCATGAAACGCACTTTGTTATAATTATAAAAACGTATGAACACACTCCGTTTTAATTAATTAAAAGAATAACTGTTAAAGCTATTATTTTTTTTAACGTTTTATCTAAGGGAGGTAACTTTAATTTATATAATAATTGTATAATTTTTTATAATTACAATTTAAGTATTTTAAAAACATTGCTATTATACACATTTTTAAACATTGTTGGTATACTCATAACTAACCTATTTATTGTTTGTTGTATTTTTCTTAAATAGAGGGCCTCAAGAATTAGAAGTTTTTTTGTTTTTTATTTTCATGGAGGTGTATACTTGTATTGTCAATTTATATTTTTCTAAATTGTGAATTTGGACAGGAATTTTCCTTTATATGTTGTGCAATGGAACTTGAAACCGAGATATGTAGTGTAAGTTTCCTTGATAATGTCTCCGACGAGATTGAAAGTACTTACGAAAATAAAAGAAATGAAACAAACACCAGCGCCTTTCTTAATGAATTTAATATCAACTTTAAGAAAAAAAAATAGACATAATATGTCCATGTTATTTAACCAAACATGCTTTAATGAATATATATATATATATATATATATATATATATATATATATATATATATATATACAAAGAATAAAATAAATAAATATACAAAGAAAAATAATCAAAATAAATAAATAAGCAAGTTAAATATAAAGCATTAACCCTATATATGGATTCTGCGAAAGAAATATCTGCGAAAGCTATATTGTGTCGATCGCGGCAAAAAAGTAGCAGTAATTATGCAGCGTTGATTCCTATGTCCACATTGTCTATATTTATAGACGCGTTATTTTCAATTAGAAACACTCTTTCCCATATATATAGCAAATTTTAAACATTATATATATATATATATATATATATATATATATATATATATATATTGTGTGTGTGTGTGTGTGTGTGTGTGTGTGTGTGTGTGCGTGCGTGTGTATGTATGTTTAGGCAGAAAATTCTTTTTTAGGTATGCCTTCTTGAATAAATTACAAAATTATGTCTGCTTATTTTAGCATAATCCTTCCATATTCATGAATATTTTTCCGTATATTACAATTGGAAAATGCATACATATATATATATATATATATATATATATATATATATATATATATATATATGCGTGTGCTTGTGTGTATATGCGTATCTATATGTCTGTATTTCTGCAAATATATGCACTTGACATTGTGTTTGCTTCATGCAAGTGTTTGTGTCGCAGTAAAGGGCATGAAACGTTAAGTTCAAGAGTAACGATGAAAATATTAGGGAAATGGCGAAATATAAAATAGAAACCTATCAAAGAAGCTGCAACATTAAATAAGAAAAGAAGAAAAATACGAACGAAAATAATAACACATGCAAAAAAAGAAAGAAATCTAAGAGGCGTGTCTAACGCGCCTGTAGGCAACCTCTCTCCACGCGCCCAGCAAACGCGTCGCTGTGTCCCAGACATCAGCTGGCCAATGTAGAAATTCTAACATACTCCACTCTTTTTTACTTAAGCTTCTATTTTTTTTTTTTTTTTTTACTTCACCGTGCCCTGTACGTTACCATTACAGTGTCGTACGCAAGTTCCTCGTGACAATCTCGTCATCTCTCGTTATTTCTTAGACATCGTGAACTAGCACCTATAGATTCAAAATATCCCCCAAAAACATAAAAAAGAAGAAGAAAAAGAAGAAGTAAGAAAACGCAACTTATAATCAACATGCTTTTCATCTTTTGCTATGCAAATAACTTTTAAAAAGCGAGAGAAAAAAAGTGAAATATCTTGAAAGAGGAGAAGCAAATAGAAGAAATAGGAATGTTTACTTAAAGAAAAAATAATGAACTGTGATGACTCGATGTAGGAGAGTGAAAGGCGAGGGGGTGGGGATTTGGTAAAGAGGGTGAGCGGACGAAAAGGAGAAGCGGGGGAGGGGATTTGGCACAAAGAAAGAAAAAAACGCAAAGAAATCAAAAGAATAGAAGTAATCACGAAAAAGAGAGATATACGCCGTAAAAGAAAAGCGAAAAGAAAAAAACTGCACCGGATTTTGTTTTGTTTATTCAAATCTACTTTCGGCATGAGGGAACAGCAAACATACGTGATCAATAAGAAAGCAATATTACATGTAAATAGAGATGAGTCTTATATGACAGATATATCTAGATATCTAGACTGTGATAGATAGATAGATAGATAGATAGATAGATAGATAGATAGATAGATAGATATGAACATGAACAGACAATAGATAGATAGATAGATAGATAGATAGATAGATAGATAGATAGATAGATAGATATGAACAGACAGCAATAGATAGATAGATAGATAGATAGATAGATAGATAGATAGATAATGATCAGACAGCAATAGATAGGTAGGTAGGATGTAGATAGATACATAGATAGATAGATAAATAGATAGATAGATAGATAGATAGGTATGTAGGTAGGAATGTAGATAGATAGATAGATAGATAGATAGATAGATAGATAGATATGAACAGGTGATTGATAGCGATCAATTTCGTTTTGGAGGCGTTAAAATTAACAAGCCATTCCTAGCTTCAGTTAACAGCAGACTGTAGGTCATTTTGTAGATCAGCTTTCAGTTTGACCTTATCGAACCGATCAGTCTTAATATTAAGACAGGAGTAAAAAGATAGATAGATAGATAGATAGATAGATAGATAGATCATAGGAATGCATAAATGTTTATATTTTATCTGAACGTGCTAATATGGTTTGGAAGAATACATATCACTACTCTCCAGAATTCGAAGAATTTGACTTGAAAAATTGCCATTCTTGTTATTGGTTCTTAGAGACGATGATTGACAAATGGCTTTGAAGGGAAACTTGCGACCGTTTTGGCCACGAAACAATTTAGTTAAAGGCATACGAAAAACATCTGATAAATTAGGAATAAAGAAATATCTGAGATAAGAGGTGATAAACGTAAATCACTCTCGTATAAAGGAGGTTAAAATGGTTCATTTTGAGTGCGTCAGATCACAAGCAGAGATATAATGATACTTTTCCCTCCTGGGTTGTGTCAGGTGACAATATAAGAAAGAAAGAAAGAAAGAAAGAAAGAAAGAAGGAAGGAAGAGTGGAAAGAAAGATTGAAGGAAAAGTGGAAAGAAAGAAGAAAAAGAAAGAATTGAGGATAGAAGAAAGAAAGAAAGAAAGAAAGAAAGAAAGAAAGAAAGAAAGAAAGAAAGAAAGAAAGAATCGTAAAGGCCGAAAAATAAACTAGCAAACGAACAAATAAACAAGCGGAGTAAAATATGGAAATGCAAAACAGAATAGAATAATGCAGAAGGAGTGCAAATCTGTGAAAGGTGTCATTTACACAATTGCATATCTGCCATGTAAATGCATTTCCAACACTCTCTATCACACACGCACTCACAAAATACAGACTCCTTATATATATATATATATATATATATATATATATATATATATATATATATATATATATATATATATGAATGAAAAAACAAAAGGAAATCTTATCTAAGCCGACGCGTTTCGTCCTCTGAGGGATTTATCAGGGAACGATTATTAAATATTTCCCTTAAAATACAATTTTTCGGGGAAATAGTTATTTCAAATTCAATAGCTGTTATCCCTCTTTCTAATATTGATGGGGGTTTCCTTTCTAACTTTTGTTAGTGTGGAATGTCAACATCTTGATTATGTCATTATGAGTTACATGTGTTACCCATTTCAGTTGGCGCTGTTGTTGGTTGTCCTCAAGTGATATGGCGGCATGTGTACACACACACAAATACACACACACATATATATATATATATATATATATATATATATATATATATATATATATTTATTTATTTAAAATATTTAGGCTCTACTTTTGTATCAAGCACTGTTTTTAAAAAAAATAACAAAAATACTAAAGAACTTTGGATTATTTACCTAACGAGTTCTTTCCTATTTTTCTATATATTTTCACACACACACACACACACACACACACACATATATATATATATATATATATATATATATATATATATATGTGTGTGTGTGTGTGTGTGTATGTGTGTCTGTGTGAAATTTCAGCTGTAATATATATATATATATAATATTGTGATATTATGACCTCTAACAAGTACAAAACTACTACATGCTTTTCATGAGATCAGATACAGATTTATTTATTATCTGATGATGAATATCACTACTTCGGCGCTCAATAGTGGATCATTAGATTCTAGTGCACTCAACTGAGAGATATTTGCATGCTGTTTGGTATTTGTGATTTGAAAAGAATTAGCCAATTTGCATTGTAAAAGATCTTTATGGCACTTAAAAGCAGACTTCATCCTACTATGAGTTATTTAGGTCAGATTATTGCATTATTCGACTACAACCACATTACTGCACCATTTGTGTCCAATTTGTCATTTCAACAATGTTAACAAATTTCGACGGTCGTACAGCAGGAGATATTACTACTTAATTCAAAAGCATGCGGATAGAGTGAGTTATTGACTCTTCTAAATAACCAAGTGTATTGTATTTGCCAAAAGCAAAAAGAAAATATTTATCTCTAAGAGAAGTCGATAGTGGTTTGAAGGCGCCACTAGAATATCTCAGCCTGTCGTTTCGTCAGTCTACTGTTTTATCAGTGCTTATCACTGATTCGGATGGCGTTTCTCGTTGTCGTTCGAGCACACGTTACCATTTGTCTCAGGGAGGAAAACGTGGTATAAAAAAGAGGAGGTCATGGACGAAAAATTAAAATGTGACAGTCCTGATGAATCGCACGAGTCGCCTTCTATACATTCATTTATATGGATACTTCAGCTTAAATACCGACACATACGCTTCATATAAATGCTTTTACATGCCTATACATAGGCAAATGAAGTTCTACTATGTATATATTCCCATAAAAATAATTCGTTTTTAACTAGGCAAATATATATATATATATATATATATATATATATATATATATATATATATATATCGATCAAGAACGTTCCTATATATATATATAGGAACGTTCTTGGATCGATCGTATATATCACTTATGTGTACAGGTGTGTGTATGTGTGTGTGTGCGCGTGTGATAAAGAAGAAATGAGAAACGTTATTAAAGATTCATCAAAGAATGAGATATAAAGAAAAAGAAATTCAACATATATATATATATAAGTATCTATCTATATATATATATACATAAGTATCTATCTATATATTGGTATGGGTGTATGAGCTGTAAATATACCGAAAACATGGAATTCTGATTAGATACTGACTGTAAATGTTGTAGCATACCTACGGGCGATAATGGGTTTGTCGCCATTTGCATAAATACAGTAGTAAATACTGTATGTTGGTCTGCAGTTGAAGATTCGTTTCCAGCTGTGCTGGTCGAACTCTTTGCCTCCGGGTAGAGAGGATCCGCTGACGAGGCTCTGTCGAAGGACAGAGTCTCGTCTCGGGAAACAGCTACACGACTCCGTTTTGTACGGGGTTTACGAGGAATTTATGGCCGAGCCTACGAGGCTCTGATACCCCACATTAAATTCGGCCTTGTGCCACATCCGACCACGTGGGATGATTGGTAGATATCCTGCTGTTTGAGATTCGTCTCCGTCTGTGCTGGTCAAACTCTGCCTTAGGCGAGACTATGGCATGGTCTACGAGGAATTTTTGGCCGAGCCTACGGGCTCGGATGCCCCACATTGATTTCGGTGCGGTTGGTAGATATCCTGCAGTGGGAGATTCATTGTGGAATTCACTTGACCCACTTCTAGTAGTTGACTTCTACGCGCAGCTGGCGAATCTTACGTGTTGTTCTTGTCCTAAGTATTATCGTTCATTACCAATCTTCGTTTGATTATTCTCTTCAGTAACCTTCCCTATTGAATTCTATGTCCCCACCATATCTACAAACGTTCTAATATATATATAGGAGGCACGGTGGAGTAATGGATAGCGGCTTGGATTGAGGAATCGCAGAGCCGAGTTCGAATTCCAATCGAATCCATTACATTCACTTACGTGCTAATACGCTTGGGAAAGGTATGAATCCTCTTCTTCTCCCTCCAGCTGTGGGTAAAATAGGAGGGCAGACTAGGTTCTATAGCCTTGGATGGCTATAGAACCTAGTCTGCCCTCCTGAATTCAAAACCTGCACTTAGTGCATCAGGTGTCTGTATTCGTCCCTTCAAAAAGTGTGGATGGTCCTGCACGAAACCTTCACCACTATGATCAAATCTCATGTGCCGGTGTCGGGCTGTCGGTTTCCTGGAAACTGACCTACTTGACCCTCATACGTCGAATCTCGACGGGAGAGTCGACTATATATATATATATTTGTAATGGTTAGCAAGCTTGTCTCGTTAGAAGAATTACGACTGAGTAGTGAGTTCGATCCTCACTGGGTGTCCCCTTCCTTCGGCCTTGTGCCACATCTAAGCTACGCTTTGAAAATCACTATATATATATATATATATATATATATAGGACTGAATAACCAGATAATGTTAGCCTTTAATATGATAAATATACTGCTTAATAAATAAAATGGGCGTCTACTCAAATATGAGTATTCGCAATATATATATATATATATATATATATATATATAGTATTGTATTGTTCTTCCTCGTATTGATATATTATATATTATTTTAGAGATAAGATTTTTACACAAATAACTTATATAACGGTGAAATTATAAAATATAAAAGTTGTTTGAAGTTTTCTTTTAACTATCGTTGCTCTAGTTTTCTTGTAGAGAACTTTCATTTCGAAAATCTGCTTGCCTTTAAATGCGTTAAATTCTAGTAATTTTACTTTTTGTTAATCGTTCTCGATTTGCGATATTATTATTATTATTATTTTAGTGTTTCAAATGTCAGATTTTCAACGTTTCTTTATTTTTTTCCTTTTTATTTGCCCTCTAACACATGTCCGTATTTAGCAAGCTAGATTAAAAAACATTACAAATAGTGATTCTCACTTTGTATCTAGTACCTTTGTGCTAGTTTAAGGTAAGCTTAGTAAAACACTATCATATATTTTGTGTATGTATAACCCCTACCATAGCCATTTACCGCCTGCGTTAGCGAGGCGTAGAACTGTCGCGGGAAACTCAAGCAAACGATACGGACTTTGTTCTAGTGGGTAAAAACGCAAGACTAAATGAAGCATTGTACTGGCGTTATAACTCTTTTAAATAATACTTATAGAAGATTCAAGGGATGAATTTCTGGGCCCTTCGGTGAAATACGTTGATTCGTTAACTTGTTTTGCTGAAACAGATATGGTAAACTCGAGACTGTGCTTATCAAGTTCTTTCGACAACCTAAGATTATTGCAAATATCTCCTTTGCATACGTGTAAAATTTCCAACACGCGTATGAAACTAATTGTAGTTCTATTTCTGATGGCAAGAGAGTGAAATGCGAAATAACTTGAATCTTATGGTAAACACTCCCAGCCTGCGACAATTATCTTAACCCTTGAATGATACATGTAAAATCACACATGTGCACACATACACACACAAATACAAGTGCATACGCATGTGCGACAGATACATATATATATATATATATATATATATATATGCATACATATATATATATATTTTTAATATATTTTATCATATATATATATATATATATATATATATATATATATATATATATATATATATATATTCATAACTTTAAACGTTATTTTTGGCGGATACTCATATGGCCTGTGTATTCAAGAAATCTTACTAATGAAAAATTAAATGTTTTATTATTTAACATGTAAAATACTCCCACTATTTTAAAAACAATTTAATGATTAAAATAACAAATACTTATTTAATAAAAATGCAATATTGATTTTTGAATATCTTTTCTTTAAGTTTTTATATACACAAGAATCCAGTTTCCAGTTCGCCCTGCGTTTGCGGGAACTATAAACAAATCACAAGGTTAAACACTTCAAAAAGTTGAAATCCAGAAAGAAATATTTACGCATGGCCAGTTGTATGTTGCATGTTCAAGAGTAAGAAATCCTAAGAATTTATTCTTCACTGTTAAAAAGGAAAAAAGAAAAAAAAGAAATGTTCTTAAAAAATATTGTTTACCATGTAGTCTTATAAAATTATTAAACAGGGAAGTATGTTTTTTGTCAAAGTATTTTTCCAACGAAATTAGTTTATTCAAGTTTCATGGATAGGTTTGCAAAATTGAATAAAATGTAAATCTCGACAAAAAATGTTAGTGAAAACTTCAACAATGGTAAAAACTGTGAGAATTTCAACACGCGTCCAGTTTGCAATAAAGGATTTTTCTATAAACATTTTCATGTTTAGCCATGTAGTTAAATTTTTGGACGTGGTTGTGCAAAAATTGGTTGGATGCGCACCCAGGAAAAGAAAGGTGGCTGAAAAAAGCAGTACGAGTCCCACAGGTTCACTAGGCAAAATAAATCCACCCTTCTCTCCTCGTCTCGATCTCTAATACGCCACTCCCCGTTGAATGAGCGTACCATGTTTTTATGCACCTGACACAACCAGCATTCAGCGAATGAGCGCCCAGAACCAGCCAATGAAAATGGCTACAAACGACATCATCACTTCCATCAACACGAAGTGCTGCCCGATTCACTGTCCGTCCGAAGCTCGTCAATTCACCGTCTCCACACTCCCTTGCAAAACATACACGCGACTCTGGCCCTTTTGGGTCGCCGAAGTAAGTCACCGCTACAGTGGTTAAGGCCAAGAACTTTTCAGCATCCTCATATATACACGCGTCTATGTGTGCGCTTATCCGAATTTTTACATAATATAAAACAAGAGAGACAATTATGTAAGAGGTTTAGAGTTCAAATAGTAATAATGAATGAGCTGAGGGTTGTGAATAAAAGGGGAGATGATAAGAAGTGAAGATTTCGTTTGACCGCTTCAGAATTCTAGTCCAATGACTAGCTCTATATGAACGATCCTAATTGACTTGATCTACGAGAACCGCCCCAACGGATTATGGTTATTTTCCAAGCGTAGCTTAGATGTGGCACAAGGCCGAAACTATGGCGCACCAAGTGAGGTTCGAACTCGCTTTTCAGTCGTAACTCATCTAGCGAGGCAAGCTTGCTAACCATTACACCACGCCGAGGTACCCACGGCCCCAAATGAATATGTCCAAATGAAAGCTTTCAAATCATGGTCTAGCTGAACGGCATCAAATTACTAAACATAAGCGAACCGCCTCAATTGTTTAGGTTTAATGGAATGGTTTTAAATGAATTGGTCTTAGGGAGCGGGCTCAATTGGCTTGTTCTAAGTTAACAGCTTCAAATGTCTAGGCCTAGGTGAACGGCCGCAAATGATTTGGCAGAGATGAACGGACACAAAAGACAACATCTAGCTAAACGGCTCCAAATGACTAGTTTCGTATAAACGGCTCAAATGAATAAGATTAAGAACACATGGCGAGTTGTGTTAAAGGGAGATAACTAATATTGCGAAACCCGGAAGAGGCATGACACGTGGAACTAGAACAATCTACCCCGGTAGACGATATAAAGGGCTCAGTTCGAAATTCCAATCACCTGAAGAAGGCCGGAGCGTACAACGGCCGAAATGTCGTGAACAGGGCAACGAAGATGAGGACAACAGTTCGAACAATGTAAATAGTTTAAATGAATTAGACTAGTTGAACGACCTCAAATAAATAGGTCTATATGGGCGGGAACAATTGGAGAGGTCTAGCGGAAGGGTCCCAAACGGCTTCGAAAGTACTAGAACTGGACTATTTCCTATTTTGAGGAAGTGTTATGAACTTGAAAATCCCTTGTCTACAAAGCAAACATCTTTAACCAAATGTACTGAAATCAGAGCATCGGTATTTATTAAATTTAGCAAAGTCTAGCATCAATTCACGAGTATAATTTTTGTCACAAATGCTTCTAGATCACGCTATGTGATTCCTGAATTACTTTGTTTATATCTGCATGAGTGAATATTTATATTAATAGAGCTACCAGTGAGCAAGGGAAACGTAAAAAACATCTTGCAAGACGAGGATACCGACCAGAACTTTAACGTTGGTCTTCAATGCAAAGTTTAAGGCTGCAATCTCCAATCTCTCACAAGATAGGGAGGAAATGTTTCAAATTTTCTGGGTCATGAGTATTGAATTAGGTCGCTTGTTCAATCTAATTCTTTAACCACGGAGCTAAGCCGCGAGCAGCAGATGTTTGTTAGCGTTGCTGTTGTTATAGGTGTAATAATTCTATTAGCGCCCAGTGGAATCGGACAATTTGGGTAATAGTATCTGACTCCTGTTGTGTTTCCATATATGACAAGGTCATGCCTGTTTGGCTAGGGAATGAACCTGAACAGAGATTCAAGTGCTGTAACCGTGAGAGCGAGATTACATCCGACGCCTGAGCCGTCATGCCACAGCAGCGATGACGATGACGAAAGATGGAAATGGTAGTGATTGATAATAAGTATACTAAAAAGAAAAACAACGGTGGGGGAATAGGAATCAGTAGGCTCAATTCTTGAAGAAGAAGAAGGAGGAGGAAGAAGAGGAAGAGAAGGAAGAGAAGGAGAAGAGGAGAAGAAGGAAAAGAAGAAAGAGGATGAAAAAACGGAGGAGGAAGAGAATGATGAGGAGGAGGGTGAAGAGAATGATGGGGAGGAGGATGAAGAGAAAATAGAAAGAAGGTGGAAAAGAAGGAGGAGGATTGGGAGGAGGATGAAGGGAAGGGGAGGAGAAAAGGAGAAGAAGAAGGAAAAGAAGAAAGAGGATGAGAAAACGGAGGAGGAAGAGAATGATGGGGAGGAGGGTGAAGAGAATGATGGGGAGGAGGGTGAAGAGAAAATAGGAATAAGGTGGAAAAGAAGGAGGAGGATTGGGAGGAGGATGAAGGGAAGGGGAGAAGAAGAATAAGAAGAAGAAGAAGAAGAAGAAAGAGGATGAGAAAACGGAGGAGGAAGAGAATGATGGGGAGGAGGGTGAAGAGAAGATAGGAAGAAGGTGGAAAAGAAGGAGGAGGATTGGGAGAAGGATGAAGGGAAGGGGGGGAGAAGAGGAGAAGAAGAAGGAGATGCGGAGGAGGAGGAAAAGAAGAAGAAGGAAGAGGAGAAGAATGAGAACAAGAAGAAAAAGGAGTAGGGAAGAAGAAAGAAAGAAAGAAAGAAAGAAAGAAAGAAAGAAAGAAAGAGAAAAAGTGTAATAATGATAAAAACAAAGAAAAATTGAAATAAGAAAATGAAAGGCTAATACCATAACTGAATTGTTACGAGTTGTTCTTGCGTGACATATTGTCATTAGACATTTTTGACAAGATTTTCTTTAATTTCATTTTTATTACTATTTTTTAATATGACGTTAAAAAATAGTAATAAAAATGTGTGTGTGCGCACGCGCGTTTTTTATCTCTATATTATCCATATATGTTTCATTGGAGATCAGCGGATATTTTCAATTGACGAATTACACTTTTTCAAACAATGCAAACATCACTAATTCATGGTTCGAATCAGTCTAAATGACTGGCAACTCTTGCATTCATGAGCTTACTATTAATTAGGCTTTAATAAGTTATTCGACTGCAAATAAAGCTGGGATATCAAGCCAAAGACAAAGCGATATCTGCATACATAATTATATATTACTCTAAATGTTTTTTTGTTTTTTTTGGGGGGGGGTGATGCACATGTTTGAATTGACACTCTATTTTGTTTTTAAACAGTGTTAATTACGTCTAATTGATAGCGGCTCGGATTAAGGAATCGGAGAGCCGAGTTCAAATTCCAGCCAGATCCATTACATTTACTTACGTACTAATACCCTTGGGAAAGGTATAAATCCTGATCTTCTGCCTCTCTATGGGAAACTAGAAGGACAGACTGGGTTCTATAACAACCCCTCTAAGAAAAGGAAAAACTCTGAATTCCAAACCGAGCTCCGTCACGCTATCTTGCCCAAGAAACACCACTTCCACAGTACACATGGTGTCCTCACGATCCTACGGGTCATGGGATAAAAAATATAATTACGTCTACCGGCCTGCTCTCCAGTAGGGTTCGAACCTGCTTCCCCCTTTAAAGGAAAAACCACCGTTTCATCCGATGTGTTTTAGACCACTCAGGACGTCTGCTAAAATATGTGCATAATTTAATAAGAAATCATCTTGATTTAAAAATAAAAATAAATCATTAATTCCTATAATTATATATGGATTAATTTCACACTAGGTGCTCGATATTTTCGGCCTTGAAATAACTATATATAGAATAATTTCGGGGTGAATAAGTGCTAGTAAATTAAGACTGATCTTTAGAGCATCTGTTCTTAAGTGAGAACAGAGTAAGTGAATAAGAATCCTAAATTCCAACGGCAAGCAGCAAATGTTTTCAGCTCTTTTAAATCATTAAGTCATTATTCTTGTTCATTGTCTCAAAGATATTATCCTCATTAATAGCTTTACAGTTTCTATCATCAAAAGATATTATTATTATTATTATTATTATTATTATTATCATCATCATTTTCTTTCATTTCTGGTCTATACTCATTTCTTTCCGGGTCCCAACCAGAGACATAAAGTCAGAAATGGTACCATGACACTTTCCACTGAGCATTTTTAAAGAAAAGAAAAAAAAACACCGAATATCACACATATTTTGCATGGTTGAATCTCTTCGTAAAGTTTGATCTTTACTTATTTTTTTGTATTTCTTTAAAGCATGGCCTACCAGAGATTCCTTCAATGAGTCTCTTGGAATCTTTTCCAATCCATCCGAGGGCTCCAACTACAACTGGAATTGTTAATATTCTCATGCGCCACATTTTTGAGATTTCGATTTCAATGTCCTTTTAGTTTGATAGTTTTTTTGAAGATCTTCAAAGATACGTGTCAATAAGAAGAAGACACATTTTGTCTTTGGGATCTCTAATCACGATGTCTGGGCGATTAGCTTTGATTATTCTGTCTGTGTGGATTGTGAAGTCCCATAAAATTGTTACAGGTCGTTTCTCTGTAACCAGGTCTGGGTGGTGTTCATACCAATTTCTTGCAGTTTCCTTTATATAAGGGTTGCAGATTTTTCAATTATTATTATTATTATTATTATTATTATTAGAAGAAGAAGAAGAAGAAGGCAAAATAGTAGGAGACATGAAAATTTAATGCAAAGAACTATATGACAGTAACAAAGTAAAGAGTTCATAAAATAGAAATAGCTCTCACACGCAAAAGGGATACAGTCAAGTGGTTATAGACTTCTGACTTCAAGACAAGAAAGAAAAATGTGCGAGTAATACCGAGAATTGTTCATTTTTATTGACTAAAGAAAATATCCCCAGCATGATAAAAAGCATAGACATTAGAATACTAAAACAAATTGTCAAGCATGTGTACGCCTCTTTACGAACGTTTCAGAGTTTAAACTATTTCTGCTTTTTCATTTAACACTAATCACTCAACCATAGTTTAGCACCAGTCAAACGTAAAATAACAATAAAATAAATCTTAGCTACTATTAGCATTATAAATTCATCATCACCATCTTCATCATCATCATCGTCATCACTCCCATTACTGGGTGTGGTCATAGGGTATGTGGTCAATTGAAAAGTCCTTGCCTCAGCCGACTTCACAAATTAAATATTCCAATGACTAGGCAACAAAATGCTGAATTTTTTTTTTAAGTCGTCCGAGCCTAAATTTTTTCACTAACCTATTGTGTGCATATATATATATATATATATATATATATATATATATATATATATATATATATATATATATATAATGTTGACACTGAGGCCAACACCAAACGGTGACAGACTGTTTCATGCTTCAACGCAATCCTCAGGCATATAAATATATATATATATATATAGGTGTTTGTGTGTGTACGCGTGTATAAGGGAGTGAGAGAGAAAGAAAGAGAGAGAGAGACAAAAAGAACGCAATTATATATTTTTTACTGTTTGATTTTGTTTGTCGATCGTTCTCTTAATTTAAAACACTTTTGTAAAGAAGGAAAAAAACATAAAACGCTGCTATATGCAGGGAAAGCCGCGTGTATTCAAAGAAGCGACTATTTTCTCTTCTCCTTGAGTACCCAAGAATAGACCTTGTGTTTTGCATGTGCGCAGGCGCGCAGAAACAACCCATCTGCGTACAATACTCCAGTGCACATGCACTTGAAATTAATGGTGCCGTCGCACGTTATCATGCGTCTCTGACTATTTTGTTCCTGAATATAAATATGGAGATTGACTACTAAAAAGAATTCATTTTACTTAAATTGTTTTCATTTATTTACAATATCTAATCATGGACAAATGTTTTCATCTTTATTCTTATCACTACACTGTCCATTGGGAGAGTAGTTTAGAGGATCGAAGCGTTGGTAACTGAGTTCAATCCCCGATAGAGTTAGTGCAAACTCTGCCTCTGTAAAAACAAGACTTGCATTAACTGAACAGTACTTAAAAAAGAAAAAAACAAAGCTCGAAATAGTGATTTCCTAAGCGTTGCTTAGATGTGGCACAAGGCCGAAAGTATGGGGCACCCAGTGAGGATCGAACTCACTACTCAGTTGTAATTGTTCTAGCGAGACAAGCTTGCTAACCATTACACCACCTCAAGGTGCCCAAAATGAGCTCGAAATATCTTACGACATGAACAGCTGAAGGAGAATAATCTGCCCACTAGATTAAATAAAAGGTTCAGTCCAAATTTTCTTGATGGTTGCCCGGGTCGGGGAGATGTGGAGCACAACGGTCAAAAGCTTGTATATCTGTTGGGATTGGAAGCGTATTGTATATTACGAGCTGTTTTCACAAAATCAGATATTACATTCAGACAAGTACTCGGCAAGTACCAACTGGATTGATTAGAAGCAACAATCGATAAAAAGTATCAGGAATTGGTCATTTGGAAGTGGGAGGGGATTTTCCATCAGGACAACACCAAACCCTCACGTCTCTATGAAGACAGGACAGAAATTGCTACAGTTTGGCTAAGATGTCCTACGACACTCGCTGTATTCTGATGTGATCCCCCAAAATTATCTCAATGAAAAAGACTTTAGTTCTCTGAATACTTGTACTTCATCACCCAAAAGATGGCAAGTTCTAGGAGGATAGAATAAGGAAACTGCATCAAAGATGGCAAAAGATAGTGGAACAAAATTGTACATATGCTGTTGAATGAATGTATGTACAAATGTTTCAATATTGTCTTTGAAAAACACTAAAAAAAAAGCTATGGGTTTTTGTCCTAGCTCAATAGGATTTTTTCTAGACACAAAAACATATGATAATTTCAAAAAATCAGTTTTTCACAAAATAGCTTGAATTATTTTGAAAGAATGGCCTGTTTGTTGATAGGGGTAGTTATATATTTCCTATCGGTGCCAATAGTCGGTGAACGTACCAAAAGTAAAAAAAACAGAATTTTCAAAGCAGATTCTCCTCATTTGGAACACTTACATCACAATCCTTCTCCCTACATCTGAGATCATTACTAAATATATATGCAGCTAATACCACGGTTTATATGTTCACCTCTAAAAATCAAAATGAGTAGAGCCTGGTCGCTGACCTAGCCATCACAGCTAAATGGTGGTAAGACTGGCGTGTATTATTTAGTAACTCAGTAACCAAGCCAGTAGTTTCATCACCGAGCAGACTGTGGGTTTTCTCTAGTCCTGATGAACAGTTATACTCTCAATAAGCCCCCATGCCTTGAATACCTATTTGGATTCAAGTTCACTCCCGACCTCAAATGAAATTCTTATATTCGATCCATCGCTAGAATTGCTGGGAAAATGACCTATTCCTTGTACCGCTTTTAGAAAGAATCTGACTCCTGTTTTGCAAGAGTCAGGTTAGACCCAAAATGGAGTATTGATGGCATCGAGCCTAAATGAATTTTTATATATATATATATATATATATATATATATATATATATATATATATATATATATATATATATATATATGAGGATTGTAAGCTCACTACATACCCCAAGTGGATCTCGTATATAGCTAAAGATGCTGGAAAAATAGCCCATTCCTTATACCCTTCCTTTTACTGACTTCACCTGTCTTGCTCTATCTTTAGAAGAGTCAGATCAGACCAAAAATAAAAATATTGCCATCATATCTGGTCTACAGCTGCCCAATCTTCACTTTCCAAACTTAACAAATTCCCAAAATGTTTACGCGGCCTTGCGGGTGATTATTTTCCACCCTAACACCACTTTTCCCACTTACAAACTGTTGATAGCCTCTCAATATTCTACCGCTATATCCATGGAAAATGTTCAAACATAGTCCCACCAGTTCAGACCTTCGCAGCTAGGATCCGCCATAACACTTAGACAGCGTCGACTCATTTTCATTCTCTTTGTATTCCATTAGTAAGGAGGAAGTTTCACTCAAACAATTTCTTCTCTAGAATTGTTATTTTGTGGATCAAACACCCGATTGGATACTTCTCCGATCACTATGGTCTTAAATTCTTCAAATCTAGACTCAGCTGTTATCTATTGTACATAAGAGGGTTGTGTTGAAAATCTATAGGCTGACCAAGATATAAATGTAAATAGACACACCAGTTGATAGACTAAAAGATATGCAAGTGTACCAGAATACAACAGCTGACTGACCAACTGTATTCTGTAACATTTGTATGCCTTTTAGTCTCCCAACTGTTGTGTCTTACATTTATATCTTGGTCAACCTAGGAACTTTTCAGTCGGCCTTCATATGTTTATAATATGCACTTCTGGCGTCCTCATTTTACCTCCTTACGACAACCTTATTTAGTAAGCATCTATCTTGAGTGGCTCTTGAGCCTTGTAGTGGTGAGTAATAGCTCTGTTCTGTACTAAGCTAAGTTGAATAAATATCAGAATGGCCTTTACACGAAATCACGTCATCCAATCAAATAGTCAAATAGCGTGATTATTTATTTATTTATTTATTTAACAACACGAAAATTTCCCGAAAGTTGTACGCAGTGAACACTATATCAGACGCAAATAACATAAACAAATGGAGTACAAATAAAAGGGAAATATTAAAACAAAAGAAGATACAAAACTAGCCATAAAAAAACTGTTGACTTTTTATGGCTTAGAGCGATTGGTCATATCGTCTGCTCTTTACTCGTTGAGCACCAAGTATTTTCCTTCTTTTTTTTTTATCCCCTACACTTCCAGCTTTCCATTATACGGAGACGGTTTCGGGTGGTGGAGTGACATGTTGTGTTGCTGCGAACAAAATAAACAAATCACCCGTCGCCATGTCCTTAAACATCGCCTCATGACACGCGCAAAGTTTAATGGTGTCCGATAACAAAAGAGAACTGTTTGGCTGTGAACCTTGACCTTTTAAAATGGAAGAGTCGAACGCACTTTCGGTCATATTGATTGACAAACAGACACTTGGGTCACCGGTTGCTGGCTAGCGATCAAATGCCTTTACCACGTAACCCAACTGGGTTGCGGTATTATTATTATTATTATTATTATTATTGAGAGAACATCACGTTAACAAAGTGACGCTGGAGTACAAATATACAAAGTTCAATATACATGCTACCTAGTCGAATAAGGCACATGCACCACAGACAAATGTGCCCGAGATGGGGGTCAGTTTTCGTTAAAAGCAGTGTAGGTGGGGCACGGCTAGAAATATCTAAGCTAACTGAATCTGTCCTGATGGTCTCTATTAAGATTGTTTTTAAGTACCTAGACGTGTCTCCCAACTCGCCTTGGCTGCCTTATTAATCAAAATTTTTTAAAAATACAATGTTCTAAACAACCAGCCAAAATGCTTACCCACTACTCACCCTTATGAACAGAGATACACAGTGTGTCATCTTCTTGGGGAACATATACAACTAGTTAAGGTTAACAATCGACAAGTAGATAGGCGGTAGTGAACGGGATATTGACTGTAGCTCATCTTAATTTACCAAGAAAAGACGGTCTACCTCACTGAGAAGATAGAGTTCTTGATAATGTCTAAGACGGTGTAAAGTAATTAAGCAAAAGCAGAAAACTAAAAATATAAACTTCAAACAGTCAAGCACAATTTACATCTCGATGTACATCTTCAAACAAAGAAGATCTGTCTGTTTAATTTTATAAAAAAAAAAACATTTCAATACCTTAAAACGAAACTTTTTCAAATCAATTCTTACTGTCTGCTCTACGGTGTATCGAGCACTTATTTTTTTAAAATTAAATTCTAAAGAACTGTTCATAAAAAATCTTACCTAAAAAGAATAATGCGTTAGGAAATCAATTGACTGAAACCGCTGAAACTAAGGTAGCGGAATCGGATGATCTCCTAATTTTCTATACTATATATATCTATATTTTCTATACTATATATATATCTATACATATATATATATATATATATATATATATATATATATATATATATATATATATATATATATATATATATATATATATAATTAATTATGAAAAACTTGACAATCCGTATGGGTAGTCTCAAGGAGGGTGAAATCCTGAGAGCTCAATGTAAATCCAGAGCTAAACAGACCACTTTAAGGTTCCATTATAATAATTTATTTGACCAGGGCCCTTTTAAAGGACGCCGTATCATCAGATAGCACTTCCAAAAGATGAAACGAAAATGAAATGGAACCTTAAAGTCGTCTGTTTTTCTTTAAAATATATATATATATATATATATATATAATTTTCCTAATTTACTTTTTTTGTATGAATGATTCATTGTAATATAAATTGAACTGCATCAAATATTTGATATATATATATGTGTGTGTGTGTGTGTGTGTGTGTGTGTGTGTGTGTGTGTGTGTGTGTGTGTGTGTGTGTGTGTGTGTGTGGAAGAGTTTCCTCTCTAAAGCATGCTTTATTAAAAATGACTGGCCAGTTTCACCTTTCCAGATTTTTATTGTTTCTTGTGGACTAACCATTGGATTTAGATCTCTTATTCTCAGACAGGAGAAACAAATAAAATTTGAAAAGATCTAACTTGGTAGTCATATATATATATATATATATATATATATATATATATATATATATATATATATATATATACACACGTATTCGTTCGTATTACTTAGCGTATTTATTGTGCGTGGGTTTGAAAGTCAGTAAAGAAGTAAAGGGTAATATTACTAAGAATTCAGTCAAACACGACATTCGTCAATCAGTCTCAACTTTCACTCTGTTCCTTCTTTTTGACAAACTTTTACCAAATAAACGCCATCTTTTCCATTTCTTTCATTCATTATTTTATTTTATTTTCCATCTCCTATATCACCGCACTCTTCGTTTACATCCACATTTTTCTTCATGTGTCTCTTCACAGGAAAAATATTTATAAATTTATTTATAAACACAATAAACATAACACTCCGGTTTAAAACTCTTGTTTTCTGAGCTTCTGATTCGTTCAAGACCTTCATAGAAAGAAAGAAAGAAAGAAAGAAATGTTCTTTCAGTTGTTTTCATTCATACTCCATTTTTTGTTCATATATAACATTTCGGTTTGACATTTAATTATAATGAGATTTCTTCGCACTTGGGAATGAATTAAAAGTCCCTCTGAATGTGGACATGATTTACTAACAAACGCACGTATACCCAATACAGAGATGCATTTCACATCTATTAAAGATTAAAATTCAGAAAAAAAAATGGATATAATTAAAATCGTACTAATGGGGATACACATACAACGAAACATGTATCGAAACAGATTTCAACACAAGATGAACAAACATTTAACGCTCACTCACATGAATGTATACATTTTCCAGCCTTACCCACCTCAGAAAAAACATAGACGTCTGAATCTGTTTTAAGGTAGATATTTACTTGTACAACATAAGCTTTTGTTTACAGAATCTATACAACATTTGCATTCAAGAGTATAAAATTTGTAAGTAATCTCGCTAATAAAGGCATATTCCACGAAGTAGGGTAAAAATATGGCTTTTTGCGGGCCGGATTGGGTTTTCTTGCTTTGATTGGCACCCAGTTTAGGATAAAGAAAAATTTGAATCCATACTGATACCACGAACCGCAAAAATAAAAGGGATTCTTTTCATCGAAGTTTGATCTGGGTATGAATATCAGAATGGTCTTTACACCTTCAAAAGCCCTAGCGCATTTTCCTTAGATAGATAGATAGATAGATAGATAGATAGATAGATAGATAGATAGATAGATAGATAGATAATGATGGCGAATTCATCATTCTCAATTACAGCCATCACTTAATACACTTCAGAATCGATTTTATCTTAGCAACATGGTTGTGTCTTTCCAGGCCAGCAAGTGATCTGTACTTTTTGACACTTATGTTACATACATGATTTCCTCCAATAACAGGAACTACTTGTTGGTTACAATGTATTCTCATGTGTCGTTTCAGACCTCCAGCTAAGCGACAGAGCTTGTTGTTTACATAGCATATTATTATCTCGTATGTAGCGTCATCCAAGTACACGGCTTCTTTTGTGATTTTTCAATCCTGCTCTGCTTACACGCACATCAGCTCCCTCCAGTTACCCATATTTCATGACAGTAACAGGTACACACCCTTTCTAGATCCCTACTTCAACAGTAGGTGATTTCTTCCAACCATTTGGAAAATCTTCTCTTCCTTCATATACTGCTTTCCACCATCTTTCCCGATCAGTTGCAGTTTCTTTCCAGTCCTTTTCTGAGATGCTTGCTTTCTTCAAGGATATATTTATGCAACCCTGGAATAATATCTTTGGATTATGGGGTGATACTTTCCATTCATCCGTTCAGAAGCTGCTTTAGAGTTGTACAGTCCCATATCCCCGTTCTACTGATGCATACTCTTCCACATTCATCGGCCATCCCTCCGGTCATCCATATTTCATGGCAGTAACAGGTGCACACCCTTTCTAGCTCCCTACTTGAACAGTAGGTGATTTATATACTCCATCCGTGAAGCTGCGGAAAGAAATATAAAAGGGAGACAGGCCGCCCCCTTAAGGTCAGGTTTCAAGAACATCAAAAAGCTGTAACAGGAGGGGAAGTGGAAAAATCAGGTGTGGCTGACCACATATGGAGAGAAAAGGGGAATCACCGCCCTCTGTGGGATCAGGTTAAAATCATAGACAATGAACATCATTGGAAAATTCATAAACTTAAGGAATCAGCACATATGCTAGGCCACAAAAATCTCCTGAGCCGACCAAGCATAGAAATGAATACAATATGGGAACCAGTAATAAGGAGTGCCAGAGAAAAGCAATAATAACAACAAAAATTGCAATATGTGCTCTGCTAAAAATTATGCAATGATAACAGCAAAAATTGCAATATGAGTACTGGTAAAATAGGTTGCTGAAGATATTAGGTTTATAATACCCAGAAATTCATACACAGATGTCCTCAAGGACACATGGCACAGTGGATAAAGGCATTAGTTAGAATCAATGAGTTCAATACCTGGTTATGGCTCTGGAGAACTTGAAGAGGGGAATTTACAAGAGATAACTGATAACTGACACCCATTAGACATGGCTCGTGGAAAAATGGCTGACCACATATGGAGAGAAAAGTAGGATCAGGTTGAAATCATAGGCAAAGAACATCACAGGGAAACATCATTGGAACTAGAACAGTCTACCCCAGCGAGCGAAATAAAAGGTTCAGTTCGACATTCCCACCAAGAAGGCCGTAGCGTACAACGGCCGAAATGTTGTGATAAATATAGCAATAAAGATGAGGATGATAGTCCGAGCAATGTAAATAATAGGTGGTTCCTTCCAACCATTTGGAAAATCCTCACTTCTTTCATATACTGCTTTCCGCCATCTTTCCCAATCATTTGCAGTTTCTTCTCAGTCCTTTTCTGAGATGCTAGCTTTCTTCAAGGACATTTATGAAACCCGGAATATTATCTTGGGTTTTCCATTCCTCATCCCACCGTGCAGAAGCTAATTTTGAGTCGTACTATCCTCTATTCTCACTGAGATACATACATACATACATACATACATACATACATACATACATACATGGGTATTGTAGAACTTGTTACTCCTAGTTTTCAATTTATACAAAGTCATATAAATACGGTTTCGCTAAAGATGAGTGGAACGCAATGACGGATTTTAATGATCAGGTCGATGGATGATATCTCTCTGCGTTGGTACATTTTGGGGTAAAGATTGCGAAGCGGTGAGGATGGGTAATATGAAGTGCGCCAAGCTTATTGGCTGAAAAGGACTCTGCTACCATGACAAAAAGCATTTACATGAATTAGTCAAGATCTTGTTACACGTGGCCTGCTGATCCATTTCCTAAATGAGCGACGACCCTAATATCTTTTATCAACTGCTTTCTTTATCACTCGCACCTCTTCTTTTATTTTCAAAATGCCCACTTGCAGCCAAGCTTAGTTCCCCTCCTCCTTTTTTAATTTGTCTTTTCGCTTCTGTTTATTAAACCCGCTTCTTTTTCTTATATTATTTGAGTTGTTTTAGTCCTTTCCTTCACCCGTACATTTTTATGCGCCTTTCATCTTACCCTTTTCTCTCTCTTTACTCTCTCTCTGTCTCTCTCTGTCTTTCTCTCTGTCTCTCTCTCTGTCTCTGTCTCTCTCTCTCTCTTTACTCTCTTTTTTCTCTCTCTTTAATTCTTGTTCTTTTATTGATCTCATTCCTTAACAGTATTTTTTTCTCATACTCTCTAACACACAGTAACCCTTCCGTTCTAGTGACTTTATTGCCTTGCTTGGGGTGAAATGATTTAAAAACATACAAAGAAAAAGAGAAGAGGGCTCAGTGAATAATGTCCCTGTGTTTCCTCTGCAATTTACACATAAAAGATAGACATCTGGTCCGTAAAAAAAAAAAAAGAACCAACCCTTTTGATACTTATTGAATTATATATATGCCTCAATAAAATATCTCTTATTAATACCAGTTCTTAACTCATTTATAACTAACGTTCCAAACTTGAGACGATAGGAATAAATGGGTTATTGGTAGAAACATATATTACTGTTTTTTTTTTATAAATCTACAATTAATAACGGATTTTTTATAAACCTTTAATTAATACCGGACTTTTTAGAAGCATATTTTTAATACTGGGTTTGATTCTAATTTTTATAAATAATGGTGGATTTTACAGTGCGCATTAATGGATTAATACTCAGTAAATAATCCCAATTTTGTTTCATAATAATACTAGAAGGGGGGGAGGCAGTAAATTACCTTATTGGTCCGACAAAGAAACTCTTTAAAAAAACTGTTCTTTTAGTCAGATTTGGAGAAGTGAAACAGACTAAGCATCTTACAGCACCTCCTCCTCCTACTATATATATATATATATATATATATATATATATATACTAATAATAATAATAAAAAATATCCATTTTGTTCTTTAGTACAAAACTGAGTTTCATGCATGCAGCAATTGAAAAGTTATTCTACATCGAGTATTGTGTTATTACCACCAGCATTTACTGTGCTCTACTTTCGTTTGAAAATAAAGGATCACCATAACATGGTAACAGTCAGTTTCACGTTTCAACGCGATAATCAGACCAACTTCAGATCTCTATGCAGTGCTGATTCCTGTGTCAACGAAGGTAATCCACAACTTATCTCTAATATTCAGAATTTTAAGAATATAGAATGTCAAGAAAATCCGTAAAATCCATCGCGGTTATGATTTATTTCATGAATATATTTACATATTCATCTCTTCAGACCGAACTTTTTTTAGATAATACATATATATATATATATATATATATATATATCCTTAGATTTTCTAACAAAAACCATGAATATGTAAATATATTCATGAAATAAATTATAACAGAGATGAATTTTTAAGGATATTTTTTTATTTATTATATTGCTCTGTTACATACATTGAGCTCTCTTTGGATTAATGTCCTCCCTGGACTTATCCCTACAAATTAACAATTGCTATCATATATATATATATATATATATATATATATATATATATATATATATATATATAAAACCAAGATTGTATTTAGTGAAAAATGATCCACCAGAGTAATTCTGGAAGACAACGTTTTTAAGGTAAGCAGTTTTGTAATTATAGTGCTCGATATCAAGAGATAGAGCATTAATAGCAATAAATGCAATTAAATTAAGTAGTAATTAATAAAGTGAATTGTCATAAATACAATTAAATTCACTCCACGTCAACATAATAAAAGAAGATATAATTAGATATATATATATATATATGCACATATATATATACGCACATATATATACACACACACACATATGTGTGTGTGTGTTTGTGTGTGTATAGATATGTGTTTCTATAAAAATTCAGATATAGATAAAAATATATATGTAAGACAATATGAATAAAAACAACAGGTTTTCATTACTGACGCATTTTGTCCTCTGATGGACTCCACCAAGTCAAAAATCCATCAAAGAATAAAATGCGTCGGTAACGCAAACTTTTCCTGTTGTCTTTATTCACACACACACACAGTTATATATGTGTATATATATATATATATATATATATATGTGTGTGTGTGTGTGTGTGTGTGTGTGTGTGTGTGTGTGTGTGTGTGTGTGTGTGTGTGTGTGTGTGCGTATGTCTACGTTTATACATATGCATGTGTATATATATATATATATATATATATATATATATATATATTGAGAGTGTCTGAGATTTCCTCCTTTATCAGGGACAAAGATAGCAATATTCTGGGTGCATATGCACTCATGAACACACCCATTTCTCTAACTTTCAAATGCTGCGAGGGTACCCTATGATTGTGTGTCCGTGTGTTCGTTCGCCTGCGTGTCTTCCTCAAGAAATAACAACGTAAAATGCTACGTCCATCTTTCATGAAAACGCTTACGACTATAAACTCGAATATTGATTCCAACTGCGACTATGATCAGAAAAATGGTGCGTGTATTCGCGCGCCTCTTTCTGTCTGTTGTATGTTTGTTTGCCGTGAGTTCGCGCGTACGTGTGTGTGTGTGTGTGTGTGTGTGTGTGTGTGTGTGTGTGTGTGTGTGTGTGTGTGTGTGTGTGTTTAACTCTTAATCTTCAAGCAAAAACAGATTCGTCTCTATTTCTTGGAAAGCACAAACTTCGGAAATTGTTTGCAATCATGAAGTTTAGATCATAAGTTTAGAGATCTGTGCAAACATTGAAGTATAGTCAAATCAAATTCAAGCACACGTGTTTATAATTGATCTAC